CGCGGGAGGGCAGGGGCGGAGGGCAGGGAAAGCGAAGGGGAGCGGAGAGCGGGGAGGGCGCTGCCGAACTCCCAGAAAGCCCGCAGCCGAACAAAGCCCTCGGCAGCCGGGAAGCCTTCCCCGAAATGCTCGGCGGGGCGGGAGCGCACGGGCACCCCGGGGAGCGGCGGCGGACCCGGGGCCCGGCCGGCTGCGTCCCCAGCTGCTGCCGCCACCGGCCCTCGGGCCCCCGCCTCCTCCAGGAGGAGGGAGAGGAATAGCGCCGTAGGGATCTGGAGGGGAGAGGGATCTCAGGGGAGGCGAGCCCTGCGCGGGGACGGGCTCCCGGCGGCGCCGGCAGGGTGCGGCGGGCCCCGAGGGGCGCTGTGAGGGAGCGCGGTGCGGTCTCGGCTCCGCCTCCGGCCGCGGGGAGTCCGGAGCAGGTGAGGAGGGGCCGGACAGCCCCGACCGCCGGTACCGTCCCGGAGCAGGAGGGAAATAAAGCACACCGGTGCAGCAGAAAGCACTATCAGAGCTGGGCAGGATGTCTGTGAAGGCACAGGGAGGGCAGGAAGCACTTTCTGAAGTTTGTAAGTTTCGTCGGAGTTCCAGTCCCGGGTCGTTACCGAACCTCTCATCCCTGACAAGGGCGTTTCAGCTTGGTTCGGGTGTTCAGTGTATCAGGTTCCTTTGGAAATGCAGAAGATAAGAAAAAATGTCCCTTGGGATAACTGTTACTAGCCATGAAGTAGATTTTTTTAGTGTTTCTTTATATTTATTTTATGTTTTCATTCACTGCTCCGTGACACAGTAAGCTAGCTTGACTTCCAATCATTAGCAAGAGTGTGTTCAATAAGATAAGGTCTAAAAGGTACTGACCTCTGCCTCCCCTGGAAAAATGAATATAAATCATCTCGTTACATTTATGCCAAAAACAATAAAATTGAAAGGAGTGCGTAGTCAAGAGAAGTGTCTCTCCTCTCTGCAAAGTATCTTTTAACACGTATATATCGCCAAAAATTGTTTGAATGAGTTGGTTAAAATAACTAACAATCACTAGTGGTCAGTTACTCAAATTTTGCAATGTTTCCGTAATTATTTTTAATAAATGCATTCAGAAAAGCTTATATCTGAGAACTGGTATCCAAGGGTCTGTTAACTATTTCCTGTATTGGAGAATCTGCTTTCTCCTTGTCCTGCTGCCCTGAACATCCTAATAACATTAGCAAAAGAGCAGGAATAAAGTACCTAGAGCATGGCTTGAATCTTGAAGGTTAAGATCTAGATCAGTTAAAACATATTAATTACTTCTGAATGGTCTCAAAGAGCATTTGCCGTGTATATTTATGTCAATAAAGCCTTGATGAGGGCATGGATGAAAATTCACATCACACTCCAATTCACCAGGGTACCCAGTGCGTGTATCTGAAGTTACTGGGTTCTGAAAAAGCAGTCTCGGTCCCCCAGCGCCCGCTCTCCCTCCCGCACCCCGGGGCTGAGCCGCGTCTCAGGCAGAGGCGATGCACGGCGGGGCGCTCCCTTCGGCCGAGGTGGGATCCCGCTTCTCGCCGGGGCAAAAATGAGGGAGGCTTGGCGTGTGGAAATCGGCCCGTAACTAATACCAGGCCGAATTTTCATTAGTTTGTTTTTATTTTATTTTTTTTTTAAGAAATCGGGAGAGCGATCCTCATTATTAATTCACCAACAAAAGCGGTGTGTAAGTGATGGCTTACGTTCAAAGAGATTTTTCTCCCTGTATAAGAAATGGCCATCTTGCTCTTTAGGGGAGATTAATAAACCCGTCCGAATTCATAATCTAATAAATACATCAGAGTACGCCCGAATGTGCTGAAGAAGAAACTGGATCTGATCTGTCCTATAGGGAAATGGTCCGGTAGGGTTTTTCTTTTTTTTTTTTTTTCCCTTGCTTTGATTTGTACAGTTTTCCCCCCTCCCCCTCTGCACACACATACACACGCTCACGCACACATGCTGCAGTACACGCTGCATATTGTGTCTGCCTACACAAGTTTTCTACTATAGTAGGAAACCTGTCTCTGAAACCCTTTGTTTTCACTCAGCCTTTCTTCAGATACACCATTTTATTATGCGCCTTTTAAAATCAAATTGCACTGCAGTACTTGTTTATTCAATTTTCCAGCATTATCTCTTTTTTTTCAGGAGATTCTCGCCCGAGAATACCTGCATGCGAGCTGAGCACAGCCCAGCACAGCCCCGCAGCTCCAGGCGGCCGGAGTGGCTCTCCCGCCTGGGAGCTGCCGTGCCCCTCGGCCCGCAGGTGTCCGGCCGCCCGCTGCCCTCAGCTCCGCTCCCACGGCTTGTGCTGCCCAGGGCTGCCTCCGCTTCATTTGCTCAGCAGCACCATGCACCCTTCTTTCAGGGTAGACGGGCTTCACCGGGCTCGGTGGCAGCGGGCTCTCGGCTGATATGAAAACCACGAATTTAGCTGCTGCGGGCTGCCTTTGCCTGCACACCTGGAACGGGGCAGTGCCAAGTCTGATCTTCGCTTGCAGTAGTCACTTGTTTTTGACGAAGGAAAACAAGGTTAATATCTCTGAAACGGCCAAATTCTCCCATCATTCGGGAACTGCCTCTTGAAATCTGCTGAAATCTTCAAACCCCGCGCTGGTGGCTCTGTGGAGAGGTGACTTTGTCCACGATTGCTGTAACTTCCAGAGCTGAGTGACTGCCCTTCAGCCGCTAGTCCTTTCACATCTTGTACTTTATCTCCCGTAGCATTTACACATTCAAAATCTACACAGGGGCTCGTCGAGCCGAGCCCTCGGGCCCCGGCCACGGGGAGAACCGGTGCGGTCTCTGTCACCCACCCGGGCTGGAGGGAAGAAACCGAGTCCCGGTACACCGGGAAAGAATCCTCGGTGAGCTACGGGCTTCGATGGGGCTGTGCGGGGTTGGTAAGGTGGATGCTCACTTTCCCTGGTATAAATTAGCAGAAGTGTATCCTACTGATTTATTTATTTTTCCCAGGGTGTTATAGAAGACATTCTCTCAGAATCTTGTTGACAAATAAGTCGTGAGCTACCTGACAGTGTTAGTCCAGTTGTTGGCCATATGTCTAAATAACCTCCTAGAGACGTCAGTGCCGTTTAGGAAGAGAATTCCCTCAAATGAAAACCAGAAGGAAGTTTTGGGGTTTTTTTTTAATCCTTTTCTTGTCCCCCAAAGCCACGTTACACCTGAGGGCTGTAACATACAGGGATGATTTTTGTAAAATCGGTATCTGCTATCTATCTTCTCCCACAGCAGCGATCGCTTTACAACATGACTGAGTGTGGGGAAGGGTGCGCTCTTTTCCTTTTTTTTTTTTTTTTTGATTTCAGTTGTATTCCCTGGTCAAACAGACACTTGAAAGATCTTTTCTTTTTTGCTCTTTTTTTTTTTTTTTTTTTTTTTTTTACCTTTACCTTCACTAAATGCCTTCCGTTGGTGTTTGTTTAACGACGAGTCGCTTCGGTAAACAAGACAATCAAAAGAACATTTGAGACTACGTGGATACATTTCTCTGATGCTTGTAGACGCCTGGACACCCAGAGGAGTTGTTGAATGCCTCTCTTTCCGTCTTCCCTTTATTTACCCAAATGAACTCAGGGAAAGCTTTTAACCGAGGGGAGATTTAAGGTGATAAGCAGCGAACAGACGGTCTGCGCTGCAAGCCTGCGTTTCGAACTAGAGCCGGCCAAGGAGCAAAAGGGATTAGATGCTTCAAGGGCTAATTTTTAAAATTTTTTTGTTCATGTTTTTCTATAGAAAACTGAGACCGTTTCTTTTTCCTCGAAATACTCCGACTGTTGCCTGCCAGCGCAATCTCATTTAAACAGTTATTTTAGCCGAAGTCTCGTACCGACTGGTTTTGCAATTATGTCAGGCTTTTGAGAGTTTGCTATGATTTTGAAATGACTCTGCAACCCTTCTACCACCACTCCAGGCACTCTCTCTCTCTGCTCTATCTACTCTGTTCAGGAGCCAGCAGTTTAAGGAGCAGCGTCATGTTTTTAGGGTTATTTTCCCCAGGGGACACACGAGATTAGGAGTAGTCCCGCTCCCCGAGAAAAAAAAGACCCCACGTCCACTTTGCAGGCAGTTTTAAAGCAGCTCTGTCTCCTAATGTAGAAGGATTTGGGGTTGAGTTTCTCCCTTTCCCTTTTTTTTTTTTTTTTCTCTTCCCTGTTGGTGGGATTGTCTATTGTTTTGGTTTGGTTTGGGCTTTTTTTCCCGGGTGTATCAAGAAAATCAATTAAAATATTTCTCCATCCTTCTCCCCTCCGCCACAGGACCCGATTCACGCTGTCCCGCAGCGCATCAGACCAGGGGAAAACCGTGCATGGTTAAAGCTGGGGGTGTCAGGGAGGGGGCAGCAGGGGACGTGACCGCAGCTTATTTCTCCCAAGCGCGACCACTTCGGTGCGCTTTGGGGTGGGGAAATGTGCGTGGGTGTGTAAAACTGCGGCGATCCTCACCACCCGCAGTCCTGCGGGAGCTCGGCCGCTCACCCCCGCTGGTGGCCTCAAGGTACCCACCCCAACGCCAACAATCCCCCAACAGGTACGCGGGGAGAAGATGTGTGTGTGTGTCTGTGCGTGCCCGTGGGGGTCTGTGTGTCCCCACTGCCCCCGGCGGCGCCGCCAGGTCAGAGGGCGGACACAGGGAAGAGGGGAGGCGGGAGAGGGGTGGGGATGTGCCCGCCTGACGCCACCGCCCCTCCGCCAGTGGGGCCGGCCCAGAGGCGGCGGCGGCCAACGGGACGCGAGGCGGGGCCGTGAGTGGCGTTAGGGGCGGGCTCGGCCGGGTGGGAGCGAGGGGGGTCAAGGGGGGAGTTGGAGAGAAATGAAGTTGTGCTAAAAGGCTTTTAGCCATCAAGAAGTTATTAGGCATTTCTCAGCCGCAAATTAGGGATTCTTCATTAATACCAACCTCGCCCCCCCACCCCACCCTACCCCACCCCACCCCTCGTTATGTGAGACGGAGAGCCTGGGAGCCGATAAAGGGGATGGGGAGGCGGCAATGTCTGTCTGCCCATCGGTGCGAGGAGCAGTGACAGGCGCAAACTTTTCCCCGTGCCATTAATGAGCCAATTAAAGAGTTGGGCTCCTCACCCCGGGAGAGCTCTCTGCAGGCTGCCGGGCTCAGGGATTCAAGGTAGGTGAAAAGAAGATCACAACCCACCACAATCTGCCAGCCTCAGCGAAGAACCGCAGTGATGTGCGGTGCTAGGCTGTGGGTCGCTTCCCCACGGTGAAAAATGAGGAGGAAAAAAAAAAAAAAAAAAGATAATTTGGTTGGAAAAATGTGATGTTTGGGTGGATTCCGGCTCGGGGCAGGGCTGGGCAAAGCGTGCCTCCCCTGGCTGGGGTGCAGCTGAGGTAGACACCCCCGATCCCAGCTGAGGAATGAGGACAGTAGCCGAGAAGAG